AATATTTACAAAGAAAAGAAAATGATTTAATAAAAGCAAAATGTCATGCTACTTTACATACATCTAAAAATTTTTTAAAAAAACTGCAAAAGCAATCTATTAACAAATTAAATTTTTTTCTAAAGTTCAATTCTATTATGAATTCATTTCTTTCAAAAGCATTTGCATCTTTGACAAATGGAGGAATAAAAACTTCTTAAATGTAAGATGCTATATCATGTTGCACAGCTAAAAATAGTCTTTCAAGAACAATTGTTTTTCACGTTATGTGAAAAGAATGACTAGTTGGATTGCTTTGTTACAATTGTATGTAAAATATCAAAGTGTTAAGAAATTGTATTTAAATTATCTAATTACATGCCAATTAAATACAAATTTGTACTAGAAAATACCATTTTTATCTACAGATATCCCAACTACTTATAGGTATTAAATTAAGAGAACACAAAATTGGTTCGACTAAAACAATGTCATTATGAATATCAACAATTTTTGCATTGCAGGCAAATTGTATTTGCTTTTTATTCAATAAATAAGTGAATATTAGATACTGGTATAAATTATAATATTGTTTGATAATAATCAAATATGTCATAAACCTTCAAAGCTTGAACATGTTTTGACTAAATAAATAAATTTGCATACACATCCTACATCACTAAACAGCTATATGATGGATAAGGTTATCTCTTGACTTCCTGGGTAATATGTGACATCAGTTAAATTCATTATTAAAAACAAAAGAACAATTCATCAAATCATTTGTATAAAAACACAAAATCTTCTGCATTGCAGATAGCGTGTTGGGTTTTATGCAAAGAAAACAGATATTAATAATATGTTAGGTTATTTCATTTAGGTGCCAAAACAAATTGTGTTTTGTCTAAAATATCTCTAATAAAGGTGACTGTCATCAAACGGATCACATCATAGTCATAAAAACATTCCAATACTTGACTGAATCATGGTACAGTTTTGATGTGACTTTTAGGAATGATTTCAAAACATATTGCCCAGGACTAATCAGATTACAAAATAATCCTTCAGTATTATACTAGTCAGATTACAAAATAATCTATCCTTCAGTATTATACTAGTCAGATTACAAAATAATCCTTCAGTATTATACTAGTCAGATTACAAAATAATCTCTCCTTCAGTATTATACTAGTCAGATTACAAAATAATCTTACAAAATAATCCTTCAGTATTATACTAGTCAGATTACAAAATAATCCCTTCAGTATTATACTAGTCAGATTACAAAATAATCTATCCTTCAGTATTATACTAGTAATCTATCCTTCAGTATTATACTAGTCAGATTACAAAATAATCCTTCAGTATTATACTAGTCAGATTACAAAATAATCCATCCTTCAGTATTATACTAGTCAGATTACAAAATAATCCTTCAGTATTATACTAGTCAGATTACAAAATAATCCTATCCTTCAGTATTATACTAGTCAGATTACAAAATAATCCTTTCAGTATTATACTAGTCAGATTACAGTCATTATACTCCTTCAGTCAGATTACAAAATAATCCTCCTTCAGTATTATACTAGTCAGATTACAAAATAATCCTCCTTCAGTATTATACTAGTCAGATTACAAAATAATCCCTTCAGTATTATACTAGTCAGATTACAAAATAATCTCTCCTTCAGTATTATACTAGTCAGATTACAAAATAATCCATCCTTCAGTATTATACTAGTCAGATTACAAAATAATCCTTCAGTATTATACTAGTCAGATTACAAAATAATTTATCCTTCAGTATTATACTAGTCAGATTACAAAATAATCCATATCCTTCAGTATTATACTAGTCAGATTACAAAATAATCCTTCAGTATTATACTAGTCAGATTACAAAATAATCCTCCTTCAGTATTATACTAGTCAGATTACAAAATAATCTATCCTTCAGTATTATACTAGTCAGATTACAAAATAATCATTCAGTATTATACTAGTCAGATTACAAAATAATCCATCCTTCAGTATTATACTAGTCAGATTACAAAATAATCTATCCTTCAGTATTATACTAGTCAGATTACAAAATAATCTCTCCTTCAGTATTATACTAGTCAGATTACAGAATAATCTATCCTTCAGTATTATACTAGTCAGATTACAAAATAATCCTTCAGTATTATACTAGTCAGATTACAAAATAATCCATCCTTCAGTATTATACTAGTCAGATTACAAAATAATCCATCCTTCAGTATTATACTAGTCAGATTACAAAATAATCCATCCTTCAGTATTATACTAGTCAGATTACAAAATAATCCTTCAGTATTATACTAGTCAGATTACAGAATAATCCATCCTTCAGTATTATACTAGTCAGATTACAAAATAATCCATCCTTCAGTATTATACTAGTCAGATTACAAAATAATCCTCCTTCAGTATTATACTAGTCAGATTACAAAATAATTTATCCTTCAATCCTTCAGTATTATACTAGTCAGATTACAAAATAATCCATCCTTCAGTATTATACTAGTCAGATTACAAAATAATCCATCCTTCAGTATTATACTAGTCAGATTACAAAATAATCTATCCTTCAGCATTATACTAGTCAGATTACAAAATAATCCTTCAGTATTATACTAGTCAGATTACAAAATAATCCTTCAGTATTATACTTGTCAGATTACAAAATAATCCTTCAGTATTATACTAGTCAGATTACAAAATAATTTATCCTTCAGTATTATACTAGTCAGATTACAAAATAATCTATCCTTCAGTATTATACTAGTCAGATTACAAAATAATCCTTCAGTATTATACTAGTCAGATTACAAAATAATCCTTCAGTATTATACTTGTCAGAGTACAAAATAATCTATCCTTCAGTATTATACTAGTCAGATTACAAAATAATCCTTCAGTATTATACTAGTCAGATTACAAAATAATCTATCCTTCAGCATTATACTAGTCAGATTACAAAATAATCCTTCAGTATTATACTAGTCAGATTACAAAATAATCCTTCAGTATTATACTAGTCAGATTACAAAATAATCCTTCAGTATTATACTAGTCAGATTACAAAATAATCCTTCAGTATTATACTAGTCAGATTACAAAATAATCTATCCTTCAGTATTATACTAGTCAGATTACAAAATAATCCTTCAGTATTATACTTGTCAGATTACAAAATAATCTATCCTTCAGTATTATACTAGTCAGATTACAAAATAATCTATCCTTCAGTATTATACTAGTCAGATTACAAAATAATCCTTCAGTATTATACTAGTCAGATTACAAAATAATCTATCCTTCAGTATTATACTAGTCAGATTACAGAATAATCCATCCTTCAGTATTATACTAGTCAGATTACAAAATAATTTATCCTTCAGTATTATACTAGTCAGATTACAAAATAATCCTTCAGTATTATACTAGTCAGATTACAAAATAATCCATCCTTCAGTATTATACTAGTCAGATTACAAAATAATTTATCCTTTAGTATTATACTAGGTAAGAGGAAGGTGTTGTTATAGTAGTGTACTAAACATATTGTCCGGAAACAACAGGAAAGCGTTGTTACAATTATTTTTATCAAAACTCCTTATTTGATAAAATATAGAACTCAGATGCACAAATGATTGAAGTGGTTGATATAAGATAAATAATTAAAATAATGTGCATCCGTAATGTGATGTTTGCAGATACTTAACATGATATTGAATATTTAAATAATCAGGTTATGATTATTGCACAAACCAATATACTTGTTTGTTACAGGTAGTAATATATATATACCTATAATTATTTGATAATTTAAAGCAGTAAGCCTTATCATGCTTCTTGGAGTACAAGATAATCTCTTGCTTAATGGGTTTCTTCACCATTACCGAGTAATATGGCAACATTTCCTCTCCATTAACAACCTTTATCAGAGTACAAGTTTGTCAGCTGATTTTCACAACTTCTACTTATTTTTTTGTTAATACTTGTTCCTACCCAACATATATATTTCAATTGTTAAAACCTGCTAATTCATAAGACCTTGTATGGCTGTAAAACTGCAAACAAGAAAACCTGGACAATTTGATGACAAATAAATGCAATACACATGTGGCAGTGTAACAGTGGTTGTGAAAATTAATCCCATATGTTCTTTACAAAATTGACACATGTACCAGATAAAGCTGGATGAATTGTAACTTATAGATTAATTCAAAATTTCGACAATATCTGTATCTTTTAACAAAGAAAAAAAACTGATGTTAATGTTACATTCCAATGTGCTGTGTTAAAAATATTCCCATTTAATGTTTTTTTAATTCCATTTTCAAGTCACTCCATTTCAATAAATATTTAAAAAATCTATTTCAATATTTTAATAAATATTGCATTCTCATTTGTGGAAAATCATTCTTACATGATTTTGAAGATATATATATATTTATATATAATTTTTTTCTTCAAAAAAGACTAAATAACACCAGATAATTTTCTTCTAGAAATACAATATGTGATACAAGAAAGATTGCAAGTTAGTATGGCAAATCTAAAAAGCTTGAGGTACATTCTGATTCAGCCCTAGGTTCAGCCTGTTTGATTTTTTGTTATAGCAGTACATGTTATTCAATACAAAATGACCCAGTTTAAAACATTTGTCACATCATGTGTGATTTTAAAATTTAATGAAAAACCTGAGATATATAATTATAGCATATCATTGTCTATATTTGAAAATAGGAAAAGTATAATCCAATATGCCGGAAACTAATATAGAAAGCATTTTTCCTTTCAAGCATATATAATACATTATTAACAGAAATATTCATAAAATTCTGAAAAAATACTCTACAGTATAAATATGTTTTGATAATAAACAATGTTTATGTTTATATTCCAATGATGTGTTTGTAGATAAATTTTGCTGCACACAAACATTATATTATGTAAAATGGTATAAATAAATTTCTGTAAATTCAGCTGCTAGTACAATCCTGTACTGAGGTATTACAAAGGTTTTCCCTGAAATCAGTCAGTTGTTTGTCAAGTGATGAAGAAAGTCGTCCCATAGCAATGCGTTATTTCTTCCATTGATGTATCCACAAAGAAAACATTCTATATGAATTTATGAAATGCATGCTGCCAAGAAATGTCCCAGACTCATACATTCATTGCTCAATATTACCATGCACACCCTACTTTAAAATCCATCTTGGTTTTAAAAAGTTGTTTTCACTAAAAGAATTCACATATTTTAAGACTATGGTCATCCTATTCTCAGAATTATAATATCTCAAACAAAATCTCTTTGATTAATTGAAATCATAAATAGTAACATCATTCTACATTTTACTACACCCTATGACACTTTGTCATCATGTACTTATGAAGTTCTTCTCGTTACTGAGGTAACTTTCGATGGCCTTCTGCGTTTCAAATGACGGCCATCTTTCCAGGAGGAGATTACTCTCAGATTCATTTGTTAACTCTAATTTTGTTCGTTGATGACTGCGAATGAGAAGCTTGGTTGTTTCGAGGGCCTGTACCAAAGAATCATTACAATTGCGTATAAATATTAGGTAGATATTCAGAAAATTCCATGTTAATTAAGCATTGATCTAGTATACTAGTAATGCCTCAACAGTCTTCGGTCATCATTTTGATAAAATACAAGCATTTTAGAATTTTTTTGCTCAAACTGTCAACCTTTGAAATACCTGAGAGTTCAACAACATAGTCTATATTCAAATTCTATAGACTGAAGTGTGTTTTTCTTAATTCCAACTCTGAACATGATAAAATTTGATTTGATGAAAGACCTTACACTATTGATCTCTAATACAAGGATTACTATGGTTAATAATTATAGTACCTTGCCAGACATGCTCGCCATGTTCTGGATCCTTGGAATGACCTCCTGCATGATACTGGTTGGCCAAAATACCTGAGAAACCAAGCCCAGCTGACATGCTTCAATGGCAGTGATTTTCCGTCCTGCGATAAGCAGTTCATTGGCCTGAAAGGGTATATCAATTCATTTACAGTACAATGGCTATAAAAATGTAACATAAATTATTGTATTAATTAATAATAGCTGCAAAAACACCAAATAGAATTCATTCACATCATGAAAGTGAAACTATGTTAATTGAGCATTTAATACACTATTTGTTTATCTTTCATGCAAAGCTTGCATAAAATATTATCCTGAATACAATTAACACTTGTAAAGCTTGCAGTAAAATGAGAGTACTAACCATCGCCATGCCTATTGCTGACGGAAGAGAGAAGGTGGCCCCTCCTTCTGGTGTTTGTGCAAGTTGAGCATATGGTAGATGGAATGTGGCCTTGTCACTGGCATACACCACATCACATAGTGGCAACATGGTCATACCAAGGCCCACAGCAGGTCCAGTTACCACAGCAACAATCGGTTTAGGAAATGTTATCAAGGATTTAGTGAAATCTCTATAGATGAAAAAAAATTAAACCAAATAGAAATATGTCACTTAAACACTAAATGGAATAAATGTATTGTTAAGTATGTGCCTGAATAGAGAATGCTCTAATGAATTAGAAACTGAAGGTTACAGGATATTGATTCCAAAACATTTGAGATATCTTTTATTACTAACCTTTCTTTTGCCAGATGAATATTTAAATAGTATATCGTTTATTCTGAAAGGAATAATTTAAAGTTTGATAAATCAAAAACAGAATGCTACATCCTAGCCCTCATGAATTTATTTCCAACTACAAATTTAATAAAATTTAGCATTGAAATGCCAACTTAGAAAATGTTAAACATACACAAAATGTAAGTACTCTATGATTAGATATAATTAACTCACCTCAAAGCATCCACCATTTGGCGTGATGCAACACGCTTGTCTCCCCTGACAAGGTAATGAAGGTCAAGACCCTGACAAAAGACATTGCCAAGCCCACTGAACATGACCAAGTTACTGTCATCATACTTGGCAGAGTTCAAAGCTGAGCATATCTCCTGAATGACCTGTGTGTGGAATAAGAAGAGAGGATATATGACATACTTTAACTGCAATAAATAAATTTGTGGATAAATTTTAAAACCATTTGTTATTATTTTTGGTTTAAAATGTACAGAAAGACAGTTTTCATTTGAAAATACAAGAGCTTAAGTTAACAAAATCATATTTTAGCACAATTTTTATCATGATCAACGCTTAAAACAGATTGCTGCTAAAATATGTATGTTAATACTAACTTCTTTTTTCAAATATACACAATCTAATGTTATACTTTGTTGGTAAGTGGTAAACTCCAGTAATATATCATGAAGTGTACCTGTGGATTTAGAGCATTCTTCATCTTGGTGTGCGTGTTCATCCAGATCTGAGTGTACTTGGAACATTTCTTCACTACGATATCCTTGTAGCGAAAAGCACATTCACTTTGTCTAACGCTGATCCTTCTTTCCATTTCCTCTGGAGGTGAGTCACCGTTCTCAACACGCTTGCCTCCTTTTTGTTTCAGTTGCTGGGGTAGATTGTCCAAGAACATTCGGTATGACATTGAAGATGGACTCACAGGAATCACAGCCGGGAAATACTGGTAAGCAGGAACGTCTCCACACAATGTCTCCATGGTAGCTGAGGAAGTGGTGGCTGTAGGAGCCATCTTTATAACACTTGCTTTGCTCATAGGTTTGACAGTGGTAAAAAGGGGTGTAGGCGACACAGGCCTCGCTACTGAGAAAATTCAAAGGTTAAAAAATCTATAAATTGTCTACCTAGAGGAAAGGAAATTTTTAAGATGTAACTATTATTGTGGTATAAACAAATCTTGAATAGTATTGTATGGTCACGATAAGGAAATTATTTAGATGATAATTTTTCTTTCAATTTTAATTATTATTTTTGTTCATAAATACTGGTCTTATATTCACTGTTCTTAAATGAGAAAAGTAATGTGCAAATTTAAATATATGTTTATTTATCAATCATATTTAATTCCAAAATAAAATGTAGGGGGACAGAGTATTTTTTGGCACATTTTAGATGCCTCATTCTTTCATACTTACAGGGCAACATCACTTTTTTAGACTTGATACTGTCTATCAAGTGAAGCTTCTTCCTTGGGACTTCCTGGGGACTCCTGAGAGGGCTGATCTTAACCTGTAGAGTTCGCTGGCGTTCAGGTGTTGTAATAAGGGTACTGTCCTTAGCAGTATAGACATTTGAATTCCCTGCTATGGCCTTTATACTGACGCCCCCATCATTCTTGTTATTGGGAACTGATTTATTAGCACCACATTTCCAGGAAATGTCTGTGGATTTAGGATACACTTTTTTAGGAGACAGACATCCTTCATCACCCGAGGAATCAGATTTTTCATCAGAGTCCATATCTATTACTTCAACATCATTCAGTTTATCTTTCAAGCTTTTCTGCAGTTTTTTCATTGCTCTTAGTTTCCTCAGATGTTCCTCCAACTCTGCTGTACCAGTACCCTTGTCATTTGACTTTTTTGTTTCCTTCTGTTTTGGAACCTGAGATTTACTTTTAGGAGATAAAGATTTTAACTTGATTTTCATTGTGAAGTTTTTATTTGACTTTGATTGTTTTGAATCTAAACTTTTAGTCTTTATCAAACTTGGCATTTTCTTCAAACCTTGAGATTCTTGCTTACTAACAGTTTTGTTGTCTTTCTTTTTCACAGTTTGCTTTTTTTTAGGATTTGGAGCTCCTTTTGTTGTTAGTTTCTTGACAGTATTCTTAGTCTTTACTTTGTCTTGAGCAATTTTCTTGCTTTTATTCAGCACTTTCTTCGCTGCATTTGAAGACTGCTCCTTTTTACTTGTAGACTTGCTTACTCCCTTCACTATTACTCCCGTCAATGAGGTAGCTGCTTTGGGTTTTTTTGTATCTTTTTTATCTGTTGTTGAAAGAGAGGTACTTGGCCTCTTGATCGCTTTCTTCTCTGTTATTTTTTTAGAACCTGTAGACTTTTTCTTTTCTTGGTCATTGCTCTCTGTTATCGAGGATGCCAATTCTGACTTCTTTATCGACTTTTTCTTTGGAGATTCCGATGAATTTCCTTTCCCTTTGACAGAAATTTTTGAAACTTTTGCCTTTCCCGATTCTGGCGACATTGATTTCCCATTGCTAACGTTAACTTTTTTCTTTGCAGATTCTTGTGACGCAAGTTTTCCTTCTGTGGAAAGCTTTTTCTTTTTTACAGTGGGTTGTTGTGGACTTGAATCTACATCATCAGCCTTTCTTTTCATTGCAACTTTTTTCACAGGTTTCTTATTAGGGGATTGACTTGATTTTCTGTCCTTTGAAACACATACATTTTTAGCTTTCTCTGGAGATTTTGAAGATTTTGCTGATTTAGGAGTCTTAACTTGCTGGTTATTACTTTGTTTAAGGGATGGTGTTTTGGATTTTGCTTCCAATTTCTTATGATGGATACTCTTGTTGATGAGTTCCATTGCAAAAATATGAGCTTCATCTTTCTGTTCTGAAGTTGAAGATTTCTGTGCTTTTCCACTATTTTTGTCTTCGAAGTCTCTGAGAAGATGGAGACAGTCTAGCAAGTTATCAAGTGGTTCCCATGTATCCCAGTCTTCAGTGAATCCCTTCCACCTGATCAGATATTCCAATGTTGAATCGTTAACTCGTCTATCTAACGCTCGTTCAACCTATAAGCAATACAATAAAGCTATAAAATTCATGTTTAATCCAGCTTCAGAACAGAAAGTACAAGTTACAATATATATATATACCCTGCAGCTGGAATTTGATAAATATGATTCTCACATCCATACCTACACTAAAATGCATGTATCTTAATTGTAACACAGATGTGGAAAGGTATGGAGTCACCTCCACAGCAATTGAGGGTACCACAATTTCCTCTCATAGCAAGATCGCCTCCACAGTTTTATCCAAGCCAACATAGAGATTGATGTAACATAAATATAATGTTTGTTGTAAAAGAATTATAGCTTGTATATCTTATCCATATAACAAACGCATTGAATTCTGATGGGACTCACAGAATTTCTGGTGCTACCTAAATTTTACATCGTGAGACCCATCGTTATAGCAATAAAATAGCTCAGAAGGTCTTTGACAAGATTATTATAAATAAACAAATATCCACATTTAAAGCTTCATGATATCTGTAATATCCCCTTATCTAAAATTTGCTACATAAGCATTTATAATTATTACCTTTCTTTTTAAAGTTATTTTATCAAACCAATTAAGAAATTAGAAGAAAGAAAATACCAACATGTCAACAAAATTGTAATCAAAACTCAAAGATGATGAAACTATGGCAAAATATCAACAACAGAAAGATTTACATAGGGGTGCCTGAAATATACAAGGAAAACAGACCAGGTGATCTGGAATGGTAAGCATCTTTAGCTGCATCAACAAGATTTCTCTGTAAATCTTTCATAATGAGATCATTATGACAACAATAAAACTTCACTGTAATCTTCATAAAAAAAATACTGCACTTTCAAAACCCTGTTTTATGAGTTTATCGGTTACTTGTTGTATGGAAATTGTGATATTGCATTGGGAATGAGCCCTTGAATATGAAGACAACCGTGCCATGTTAACACCATAGGTTTGGGAAGCAGGATTGTTGCTTACCAGAAATGGAACTTCAGAATACGGAAATAATTGAAATCAGCATGTCTATCGTATAGCCTCATCAAAACCTGTTCCTGTTTATTATTATTTTTTTTGGTTAATTATTGTTTGTTTTTTTAGATACAATGCTTTAAGTCACCACTGACGATGTAAAAGAGTAGGTCATATGTCCTTTATTTGCCATCATGGTGGGTATACAATTGACATCAACATGGTCAATATTTTTTTTTAATTTAAAGGCAAGAAATAAAATATGAAAGTGGGTGATGTGTAATGATAATCTCTGTCTTTTATTAAAGTAAATTATTCAATCACGGAAAATCATTCGTTGACAAAAACTTTATGTCGTGATTTGCTTTTTATATTTCATGTATTTAAATTTAAGTGAAACTGATATGATTTATAATATATGAGCCAGGAAGTTTACATAATGAATTGTCTATCTTAAAGTTTTAAACTTTTTGTTCAGTATTATCAATCTTACCTAGCACTTAACGCTTTCACTTAATTTATTTTAATAAACCAGTGCAGATGCACGTTCTTCGATCAATACAAGACACAGAGTATTGTCTTTCTTGCGTGTGCGCCATATTTCATTATTTCGAAATAGTTAACGTACTTTAGATTAGACAAAACAGATGAAAACATAACGTGTTAATGTCAGCCTCTTGACAAAGATAACGAACCGGTGAACCCATCTGGTGATATATAACAGTTCGTCAACAATTAGGAAATACATATTTGCTGACATCAAGATCAACCTTACATAACTTTCGTCAAGATTCTCTGGTTTAAATACCATTTCATGCATCACTGCACTCGAGTAATCATACTGTTGCTGTATAACCATCAGTCATCATTCGATATGAGCACAAACAAAAACAGGCCGAAATTGATCGAAACAGCACAGTGGTGTAAGAACATCGTCGGCATGCATGGAGCTTAGAAGGATGTATTCGTCTGCACCACAACCTGTTTTTAATATGACGCTAGGTTACTTACATTCAATATACAGATAATCATGTCAACGAAAAAATCTTTTTACCTCATAAATTCCGTTGTCCGCCATTGCCCGCAAATATTGAGCGCTCCCCTGAATCGGCGGAGGACGCTAGGGGGCGCTACTCTGTAAAATGGCTGCCTCTATTCTGAAACGCTGCATAACAACCGGCATCTGTCAAAGGTGTTTTATTGTAGATTCCTGATAGATTTTGCTTATTGAATGTGTGCACGGAATGGTCTGATTGGTAATTTAACCCAATGACTAATTTCGTTGTTAGTTTTTCTTTGCTTTTACCTCTTCGCATTATATAAACATTTAGCTTGACCAAAGTCCGTTCAGCCGTGACTGAGGAAAAAAAATGACCTGAAACTCTTTGTGGCGAGATAGAAATATTACGACACATATGTGATGGAACTGAGATTTCGGCCATAGCACTAATCTCAAACCGATAAATGTGCAATCAAGTTTGCATTTATTGTCTTGCATACAAGCTCAAGAAAGTCCGAACGTTCTATCGACATTTTTATAGATAAATAGATAGAATGTCAGAATAATTCGGACAGAGGCATTCTTTCTGAGTAAGAATGCATATTTCATAATGTATACAATACAGATGCCTGTGTATGATGAAAGAATAAACAATAATTAGGATAAACACGTTTGTAAAAGGAGCGAGTCGGTTTTGCTTCTACTTAATTGTGTTAAATACGCACACAGTCTGTACCACTCAGGTGATTGAGCATACGTCTTTGATTCGGTTGGTCGAGCCAGTTGATTGTCATACCGGAGACCTATGCTCAATTCCTGGTTAGGTCACTTGACAGGAATGTGCGGTTTTCCTTGTTCTTTCACATTTGCATCCAACAAATTCTCACAGATTGTGGTATTTGAAGTCTCATAGTGAGATTTAAGAAATTTCAAGAAAAACAGGAGGAGGAGTAAAAAAGGAGCAGGTCATTGTGTCTTATACATATTGTTAGATATGGTCTCTGTCACTTAGATGAGCATGCTCCTTTGGCTCAGTTGGTGAAGCCAGTTGAGTATCATACCTGATATACCTGACGTGAGATACCTGGATTTTATTCCTGGTCTTGCCTCTCAACAGAAAAGTTTTTTTTTCTGTTATTTCACATATCAAATGGCCAAAATTAAGTTCCTAAAATGATATGTAAATGTAGTCCTGCATCAAAAAGATTTCCAAGCTTGTATGTTTTTTTTTCTAAATACAATCCTTTTCATTTTATTTTATGGACAAATTTCAACTGTTTTATTCACTTGACTCACTCTGAAATACTGAGCATTAACATTATTGTTAATCTTAATTAAATGCTTATTTTACCAATAACTACAAATTAATTCATTTGGAAATTATGATCTAGTTTTCAAAAACTTATTAGGGACAAAGAAAATGAAATTGCTCAATAAATCAATGCCTTTCTCAGACATTAAAGATTGGATTTTATTAGGCAGTTAACATTTTGGTTAAAGAGATAAGTATATGAAAATCAGCATTTGAAAATGATAAATTTTTACTATGAATACATGTATTTATCAAAATATTGAAGTGGAAAATACTTTTGTCCATTGCACTATACTTTTACTACCTTTTACAGGTGTCATAACATTGTTTGTCAGGTTTATGGACTCGGGAATGGCCATAGTGAGATGGTGGTTACCATCACCACTGGTCCATCTGTTCGCAACTGACAGCTTGATGCCTAGAAAATTAACAGTTTCACCTATCAAGTTAATGTAATTGCTACTCAAATAGATTCCTTTACATAATGCATGTAAATGTATAAAGTGATAATTTCTCCTTGGATATAGGCTTGCTGTGAATGCAACCAGGAGTCTCCATAGAACTGTTCCAGCTATGGCAGCAATTGATGATAAATTCAGTCAAGCTAAAGACAGACTCAATACACTGAAGGAAGACCCTGGCAATGCTGTTAAATTACAGATGTATGCTCTCTTTAAACAGGTACAGCCCATTTAATTTGACTTTTATATGCTCTTTATTGAAATTACCTTTTATAAATGTAGTGTCTTTCAGAACAATTTGATAATGAGGAATATTAGTCTTTATATATCTTGTTCTAAAAATTTTTCTTCATTCAGTCAGTATGCTGAAGTTTCATCATAATTTAAGATAACATTTGTAGTATATTTGACATAAGAGCAGAAAGAGATTTGTACAGATAAATGCTTTTTTTTTGTCTAAAGTTTGATTTAAAAGAAATACATTCATTTTTTACTTAATCATGATCCTGGCCAGTTGTTATTAAGGTTATTTTTGTCAAATCATTGTCTTCAAATTGTCTAGATTAAACTTTCCTTGGCAGGCAACAGTAGGAAACTGCAATGCTCCTAAACCTGGAATGATGGACTTTGTTGGAAAAGCAAAATGGGATGCATGGAATGGTCTAGCAGATATGACACAGGTTTGTTGAGTAACTAAGTGATTAGAAAATATAAAAAAGTCCATTTGTTTTATATTATTTTGGAATCTGACCTTTCAACTGATTACAATGTTGGGTTATTTAAGGTGCCACTACAGTAACAGAAGTTGGAATTGAGAATTATGCATATTAGTCCCAAGGAAGGGAAATAAAAAATCCATTAATTAGTTGAATGTTTTACTTATTCAAAGTTTCAAATTGATGTTTTGTAGGATGAAGCAAAACAGAAGTATGTGGACATTGTTGATGACTTAGCAGGAAAGGAAACACCTGCACCTGAACCTTCTAGTGGTGAAAAAAAACAAGCACCAAAGTTCCAAACCATTGATGTGACCGTTGCCGAGGGTGTTTGCAAAATAATGCTGAATAGGCCAGAGAAGAAAAATGCTATCAATTTTGAGGTGATCATGTCAGTCATCTTGAGAAAATATTTTAAAATTGCTAATTGAAAGAGAAGATCACTGAAGTTTGATTCTGTTATTTTTTTCAGATGGTTCTTCATCCATGGTTCCAGGTCCGTCCATAAACAATTTTTGTTATCACTATTGCTTGAGAAGTCCTGTTTGATCTTTCTGAAATTGCTTATGTAGGTTCCCCTTGGTCCCTAGATGTGCCTGTTTGATTTTGGGACTGATAAAAACAAAAATGGCCGACAGGCAGCCATCTTGGATTTTTTCAATGAAGATTGTTATGGCTATTTCTTGAAAAGTGAGAGATGGATCTCTCTTTAATTTCATTTGTAGGTTTCCCTTGCTCTATAGATTTGTCCATTTGATTTTTGGTCTGATCAAAAAAACAAAATAGCTGATAGGCGGCCATCTTGGATTTTAACTTTTAAAGTTTGTTATCACTATTTCTTGAGAACTACTCTATAGATCTTTTCAAATGTATAGGTTTCTTTAGGCCCCTACTTGTGCCTGTTTGAGTTTTGGACTGATCAGAAAAACAAAATTGGCCGACAGGCAGCCATCTTGGATTTTGCCTAGTAAAGATTGTTATTGTTATTTCTAAAGAAGTATTCAATGGATATCTCTCAAATTTCATCTGTACGTTCCCTTTGGTTTCTCCTTGTGCTCGTTTGATTTTGAGAATGATCAGAAGAAAAAAACTGGCTTCCAGACAGCCATTTAGGTTTTGGCAGTTACAGGAATGTTCAAATGTTTTATCATTAAAAGCAAAATCAGAGAAGAGATCAGAAGAGAAAAAATCCAACTTTCAAAGAGCATATAAAGATCAAACAATGGTGGGTGCCAAGATCCCTCTGGAATATCTTGTTTTTTTCTCTGCTGTCAGTTTTTCTCAAATTAGATTTAGGAGTATAATATACATTTTACATCAATTGTATATTTTTGTGGTTTTACCATCTTTACACAACAATAAGCTTAGTAAAAACACCCAGCAGTTTTGTAGACATGTCACTATATCCCGAAATAGGTCTATCTCCCTACTTTTTGTGAAAGGATACTGTTCCCTTGGCTTATCACATGACAAATACACATGTGGTTATGATAAGTACTGTCAGTTAAATGTGAACTGCACATATTTCAGATGTATGAAGAGGTTGGCAATGCCCTGAAAGAGGCTGGACAGGATGATCGTGTTGTTCTGGCTGTGCTCACAGGTATATCATAATTCTACAACAAGTGTATGGGGGGGATGTCTGCTCTTCCTGGTCACATATTGTAACTTGATCTCGGCTTCTGACCACACATTGAATTATTACTTAACAAATATTCTCTTTCAAGACTATCACTCTCTGATTCTTCAGAGAAGAACTTATTAAATTCAATACACCAATTTTGTGTCAATTATCTGAATTTAATAATGCCTGATACAATAAACTTACAGAAAATCCATGCTGCTTGAACATTATTCTCTTCCCATGTTTTTATTTGTGGACTTAAAACACTTAATTGTATCATTTTTTAAAAATTGCACTCCCATATTGAATACATTGTAAATTGTTCACATCTGTGTAGACATTGTATCTTACTCTCCTATGACTACACAACAGGAGAATTAGATACAGTCGGTGATAAAATGTGACTCCATGGACAGTTAATGTTACAGGGGAAATATCAGGGAAATGCTGAATGGAATGTGTATTTCTGTACTTATTTCTTTAATCTCAATTGTGATTTAATGATACATTTATGATCTGATTTGAAATATTACTGACAGGCACTGGAGACTATTACTGCAGCGGAAATGATCTCGGAAATTTTATGAATGTCCCTCAAGATGGTATAGCAGATATGGCAAAGAGAGGGGGACTTATTTTAGAGTAAGAATGAAGCACTTTTTACTTGGTTTGAAAACCAACTATAACTTTTATCAGAAAATTATGTTGTTTTCTCATGATTGTTCTGCATATCCTAAACTGACTGTGCCATATGCAAATGTAATGCAGGTATCAGATATTTTCTTTTATGTAAGATGTAAAGGGTTTCTTTGTAAAGTCTTGATTTTTTATTTCAATATGAATCTGAAAACTTCTTCAAGCATTTGTGATACTATGTTTCATATTCATACATATACCTGTTGTGTCCACTTAAGTATGCATGCAAAGAGTTTTTGCATTTACGAAATTTATTTCACATTATTTTTCTGACCCTTGTCTTTTGTAACCTGCCTTACAGATTTTTTTTTTACCTTTTAATACTGTTATTTGATCTAAGGTTTATTTGTACATATTTTCGAATGTAGGATAGTAATGCAAATAAAATGTTTATGATTAGTGTTTTTCCACAGATATTCTGTCATCGTGGGGTATTTATAAATTTTTGTTTTATGAATTTTTGTACAGGAAGTTTGTGAGGTCATTTATAGATTTCCCCAAGCCTCTGATAGGCCTCATCAATGGTCCAGCTGTGGGTGTGTCAGTGACCGTTCTTGGACTCTTTGATGCTGTGTTTGCTTCAGATAAGGTAACCAACTATCATATTTAGATGAATATGCTTCCGACCATCTTGTCACTTTTACGGTATATTTGACGTAATGTTAAGAACCAATTTAAATGTAAAACTTTGGAATATTTACATGGTGATATTTACACAATAATATTTACATTGCAATACATACTGATTTACTATTGATTTATAATTTCTTTGAATAAATAAAGTATTTAACTTTTTTACCTCTCATCAATCTATTACTACTGTCTTTCACATTTTTTTTCATTTGGTTTCTATAGTTCAAAGTTGTTTTACAGGGATGTGTTCAGTTTCTACCCTAGGATCTGCAGAGCAATTGTAGTCACAGTTAGATTTTCATTTAAGCACTCTACATACTTATTCTAGTTGTCCCATCATCTGAGATGGTTTTGAGTGGTGTCCAAAATAGCAGAGAATATTGTCTGATAGTTTCTGTTAAACTATAGCTCATAAAAATCAATCTAGCCATCTCTCATAAAGTCACCAATCAAATGCCAGATTTCACACCACATTTTCATTTTGTAAGATGAATGCGGAGAGTTAGGGTTAGTTATTCTTTTCATTGATTTCATTTTTAGGGGATCTGCTATTTTTAACAAGATCAATTTGTTTTGGGAACACCTGTAAGTTCCTGTATAAAACATTGATTTTAATTTGATTTCTTTAGGTCAGTGAAGATTGAGAATGCTTAGGAGTTCTTGACATCAAGCACATCTTATTTATCTAAACACACCTTGCTATTTTATGCTTGTAGTTACTGTTTCTGGTTTTGTAATTTTTCCTCATCAGTCTCTGACACCAAATTCCAGTAAGTTGATGTATCATTATATTCTACAGGCAACTTTTCACACGCCATTCACAGCACTGGGACAGTCACCAGAGGGCTGCTCTTCCTACACATTCCCTAGGTTAATGGGCACACCCAAGGTAAGTTACTCTCATTTACCTTTTCAACAGTCACATATTCTAATCTTGTATTCAAAAAGACAAAACTTAAATAATTCTGCATTAAATTGGTTTTGAACCAGAGTTAGTGCAATAGCTGTATAATGATTTCTCGTTTGTTATTGTCAGGGTCAACAGGAATAATTAATAGAAATTTCAGTCACATTACTAATATATGATGTATAACACACATTTATTTACATGTAGTCATTTCTGATTTGCTTTAGGTTTCAAAGTTGTAATTAAAGGTGCTATTCCTTTGTTGTGTGTCTTTTGTTCAACCTTCTATTTGCTACAATTAATTCATAAATTTAAAGCCAATATTTTTTATTTGGAAGCTCACCATAAAAAGTGTCATTTTTGTGAATACATTTGCCAGAATCTTAGTTAAAAACAAACAGAACATAATATTTTGTTTTATTTTTAAATGAGATTTCTGAATTTGTAACAGTTTTTAAGCTTACTTCACCATAGGTCCACTTGAGGTTAACATTTAGAACTTATTGTTTAAGTTTTGGGATAAACAAGGGTGTCCCCTTTAAGATTCTTGTTATTTTTCTAAATTTAAATAATTGTTTTATACAAATATTATGAAACATCAAAATTCAGCCAATATGGAAGAAACTCATAATTTATGTTTTTATAATATTATGTGTTTTCTGATATTTTAGGCAAGTGAATTGCTGATATTCAACAGGAAAATAACGGCTGTAGAAGCTATGGAGAGGAACCTTGTTACAGAGGTTATCCCTGACCATGCTTTCCAACAGGAAACCTCAGCAAAAGTGGCAAAGTTCGCTAAACTCCCTAAAAATGTAAGATCAGTTGGATTTTAGCCCACCATCATCAGATGGTAGGGTGTTCAAATCGTCCTGCATCATTGCATCCTTTCAACCTGAAACGATTTTGTTATCATTTTTTCTTGAGTACTATATAGATCACTTTCAGACTCATATATAGGTTCCTCTTGGTCCCTAGTTGAGCATGTTCAGTTGTGGGACTGATTGGTAAAACAATTTGGCAGACAAGGTGTCATCTTGGATTTCCAGTCATAGATTGTTATCACTATTTCTGAACAAGTACTGGATAGATCACTCTCAAATTTCATATGTAGATTCCCCATGGTCCTTAGTTGTGCATAGCCCATTTTGGAAGTGATTGGAAAAATGAGTTGGCTGGCAGAGATAGCCTTCTTGGATTTTTTTATCCAACAAATTTTATTGCTATTTCTGGAGAAGCATTGTGTGGTTCATTTTCAAATTTCATGTAGGTTTCCATTGGTCCCTAGTTGTACTAAGTTCATTTTGAAAAAAAGAATATGGCTGACAGGTGGCCATTTACATATTTTTTTAGTTTTGAATAAGTTATGCTTCATGTTAAAATGTTCTACCAACTTGTTCAATTTTTTTTCAGAGTCTGCAAAAGGCCCGAAACCTTACGCGAGACCAACAAAGAGAGACATTACATCGCGTAAACAAACAGGAGTGTGATGTACTTGTGGAGAGGTGGCAGTCCGAGGAGTGTCTCATGGCTATCATGAACTTTTTCTCTTCTAAAGGATCCAAACTTTAATTAAAAATCTTCATGTATCCAAGGTTTTTTCATTACCTTAATTACTTAAACAGAGAAAGAGATTGAATTTTTGCTATGTTTGTAAATAAAGAAAACAAATGATCAACTTGGATATTTAGTGTGATATTGTTTTGGGATACGTAATGAATCATTTTAAATTCTTTATTTATTTAGAATGATCTCAATTAAAAACTTTTCAAGTGGTACGTTTAACTCCATGTCTGTCCAAGCTGGTGGACAAGCTCCTCCATGGTGATGTATTAAAAACTGTCTGTAATGGGTGAAATTGTGGTACCTGGTACATGTACTGTCCGGCTGTGATTTAGTTAAAACAAAGGGTGTAATAATGTTGATATTTTTTTTAGTTATGATTATACCAGATTTATATAGCAAACCAGCCTACTGAATCTGATAAGGGTCTTTGTATATTTGAATTTATTTCATTCATTTCACTGAAATATCTGGGTGGTTTAATTTAGTTGGTTTCAGCATTTGTGAAATCAGAAAGTTGATGAAGTGTGATATTCACAGATGATTTTCAAGATGAACATACATTACTGGTTACATATGTGTGATATTGGAACAAATTACCATCTCATTAATATTCATATTACGTCATTGTATTGTCTCTTTACAAGATTCCAAATATCAGGAGTTTGATATTTGAAAAAAAACTGCTGAAGGATGATATCAAATGTGATTGATGTGGAAAGAAATACAATGTATTGGAACATTGGAATCCCAATCTTTGTTAACAAAATCAAATTGAAGTATTGAGTATTTGAAAGTTCACCGTGATCTTGCAAACTTTAACAATTGAGAAACCAGTGAAAATGTATATATTTTGCATTTTACTACACAAACTGGTATTGCATCAATAATGTGATTTTATTGTCAAGAACATTTTTGTGTATACTCCAAGTATATACTTTCAATGTAAGGTTGATTTTCAGATGAATAAAGTGCTATATTTATATATATTGGTGTTGGTGTAAGAATTGTTGTCTTTGAAACACTGAACGAAAATGGTAATCACAACAAAGTAATATTTCATTTATGATGGAATATAATGTCCAAAGAAACCAGAAATAACTACACACCTAGAAAAGAAAATTTTCCCAGAGTTCGAAGAGAGCTGTGTCGTATCGTTGTCAGAAGACTAATCACCACTTTTTGTACGTACACACTAGGTAATGCTTCCTATCCAATCTATTTAGGATATATATCCATACTCTCGGTGCATCTGTTTGTTATGCTTGGGATTTCCTGCTTTTACACCAATTTTCATTTTAACATAATGATACTTGAACGTAGTATTCAATTACGTAAGAGAGACACGTCTCTTTGCACAAAACATTAATCAAACATTTTATGTGTTTTAGTACCTAATAAGTATTTCTAGCCTTTTAAACCCAATTGTCTGGCGCAAAATGACCCTGGCTGTCTACGAACTGTAAAATGCCAGTCAAATCCAATCAAACCTTATTACCGTCGGCGTGTAGCTGTCCGGTTAGACATTGTTTCAGTGTAATGGCCGAAGTAAGCGTTACTACCGTCGATATCTAGCCGGCCTGTTAGACATCGCTTCAGTATAATAGCCAAGTATTTGAATAATGTCAAAAGAACTGCAGGTCAAACTTGGACATACACCGTTAAAAAAAGTTCTATCGATATCGACGAGAACCCTAATTTGGGTTGGGGTTGGTACGGTTGTCGTCGATAGAACAGTTCAATCCCACCATTTTGCATGTACTTCCCAAATTGAAAATATTTTCTTTTCGTCGAAATAAAGATCTTCCAACAGATTTACGTTATACCATTGGAAACCTCTGACAATATCTTGCTTAAGATAAGGATTTTGTTGACTTTTCCATACATACATAATCTAGAATTTTAATTCAATGACACAGCAAACTCTTCTAAGAAAGCCGCTTCAATTTTCATTTTTATGGGGGCTGGTAGAGGGTCATTTAGGTAGGGCGACAGAACGAGGCTAACCTCGCTCTGTCGTGGTCGTAATATCGCGATCTCGCTCTGTTGACCTAGCGAAATGATTCTAACTGGTCATCATAATAGAGTTAGCCTGGAAATCTTAACGCAAACAAACGGGGGAGAGGTTTTCACCAATGCCGTGTGTATATGATACACGCCGGGATTTTCGAGTGGTTTTCCTTGTGTCATGTGCAGTTAGATGTTAGATCATTAGTATGCATCATATCTTTGTTATCAATATCCCGTTTATCATTACCATTCTCAATACTTGAATCGATATGCGTTTATAAGGCAGGTGTACATGTAGTCGATGAAACCCAGAAGCTGCGTTTTTATTATCTTTTCAAAGGTCTCAGTGTAACCGTTTGATTTATTCAAATTTTCTTTTGTTTAAACATTTGTCAGTTACATTTTATTTAAACTGTTTCCAAGATATATATATGTTTGAGAACAATAGAATATTGCACAAGTTGAAAATAATGTAAATATTGGAGAAAATCTAACTGTATTTGTACCTCCCGATGACGAATCAAGGTGCCACAACCTTTCGGCTATGTGTACCTAACATTCCAAATAAGTTTAGAAATTGAAAATTTTCAACTATGGACCACGGCGGACCTTTCAATAGAAATTATTGTTTTGGCAGCTTGTTCAATGATAAAGTTTCTCTGAATCTGTTCGAATATGGTAGAATTTATACAAGGCAGTTAAAAATAACAATATGAACTGTACTCGGCAAAGTGCTGGCTGACCACGTGTGTGTCCCCTATGCCGTTCTCCTTCCCCTGCTCAAAGGGTCTCAGTAATTTGCGGAATATATATCATCACCACCAGCTTTGAGAACCTTTGGCATATCTGATGAAAATCAGACAAGGAAGTAATTGATATATTAGATTTGAAAATGCATTACGTGGCCTATATTTTAGGTGCCGTGACCAGACCCTCCTGGTCACCCTTATTGGTGGTCATGTTAATGTCAATTAATGGAATTTTAGGTCTTGCCAACTTTAAAACTATTTGTTGCGAAAATAGACAAGTTACAAATGTTGTAACCTTCTTTATCACGTTTAAAGTTTGTTTTTGAATTATGTTTTAAAATCTGACACTTTTTCAGCAGAAATCTACAATGGCATGTTTTGTTTGTTAGAATTTTAACAATAACACCTTCATTTCACGTCACCCATCTCGGCCCCTATATTGTCCGAGCCCACACCATATACATACGATGTTTTCAATTACATACTATAAGCAGTTGACCTTCTTGCAAACAAAATTGAGCTTATAACTATGTGGAAAATATTCTCACAGTACTTCTCAAAAACCAAAAGAACAGCATACGTTCAGTGTTAAATTTTCCCGATTATTTTCGAAATCGAATGTGAACAGCGAATATACGACTGGCGAATTTCAAGAAAGATCAATTTTGTATTTCTAAAGAAGTTCATGTAAGTTACTTCCGAAATTCAAAATGGCCTCAGAACGAACAACGTTTGTCTACCACGTGATCATTTGGCGATGATAGGCTTGAACGATTCGCCAAAAATCTAACAAATTCAGAAATATTTCTGAGAACATAATGCGGGTCCCATTTCATCATATTGTTCTTTTGAAACACACAATTTTTCGAATGTTGATAAATTTCCAACTATTGAACCACCTAACCATGCCGCACAATCACGGTTCTTATTTGCAACAACATTCACTTTAGCCTTCACAGACAGATCGCTTTGTAACTCTTTCGTCAGGCGTTCAGCAATACCGGGAAACATTGTTGTTCCGCCGGACAATACAATGTTGTTGTACATGTCTTTATGCAAGTCTAGATCTGATTTTTGGATGGTCATGTTAATAAGCTCATGAATTCCAGGAAATTCGATTCCAGCTGTCTTTGGAGTGAAGAGAATTTCTGGACACAGAAAGCGTTCGCTACTAATATCTATTTTGGTACCATCTGGCAGTTCGTATATCGAGTCTGGACCAGGAGTGGACAACTCTTTCTCAGCGTCGTCAGAGATGCAACAGAGTGTCTTTTTGATGTCGCGTATGACATCATATTCTGTTCCCTTTTTGAAAGTATAACCCCTCGCCTGTAGTTTTCGCAAGAGATAGGACGTAAGGTCTCTTCCAGCGTAATCAACGCGATCACATCGAACAGAAACGCAATATCCGTCGACAATCCGCATAGCATGTGTCGCAGTCTCCCCGGAGTCCAACACTAGACCTGTAGTTCCCTTTCCAGTAGATACCAGAGAAAGTACACCGGTGATTGCTATGTAAAGTGAAGGAGTGTTAAACGTCTCGAACATTATCTCAGTCGTTTTTTCTGTGACCCCTCTGGGGTTGTGCGGGGGTCTTGTTAACAAAATGGGGTGTTCATCCGGAGATACTCGGAGTTGTTCATTAAATATGTACTGCCACAGTTTCTCCATTTCGTCCCAACTATTGATGATGCCGAATTCTATTGGAAATCTTACGGCCAACATCTCTTTCATATCTTTGACTTCATCGCCAACGAAGCAATCCTTTTCCCGCGCTCCCTTTATTCCGTCGTGTGGCCGACCAACGATAGAAGGTGTGACAGCACGAGGAGAATTTTCGTCAGAAAAACCGGATTTACAAGAATATGATCCATTATCAACTACCAAAGTGACTGGCTCCTTCGCCATGACCAGATTTGGTTGTTCCTGAAATAAAGTGAAAGACTTTAAAATGGAAAAGTTGTGGTGATTGGAATTGATCCAAATATTGAAGCACTGTAAAAGACACACAAGAGAAGAACACATTCCAAAGACGCCGTCTCGTTCTCTATGACATGTTAGTGATGTTACAGGCCTGGAGGCGAATTGCACCAATTATTTGAATAATGACATTTCAATAAGATGTTTAGATTTAATAAAGATAATTCAATTATAAACTGTATTTCCATTTAGAAACATAATTGACATGATACTGCAAACTACGTTATAAAGACATATCAACAGAATGCGATTATAAGTTATGATAACGCTGCATCGTACAGCTGTTTTATCTCCTGCTATTCTAGATGCCAATCAAGCGATTTCGTGACGGTTTACTAAACTCTAGACACCAGGAAACTTCTTATATGGTTTGTAGATAAACAGCTTGCCAGCATTCAAAGTAAACGTACGGAAGTAATATCGAAAAGTTTTGAAAGCGAAAACAGACAAAAGATTTTAACAAATATTAATCAAAGAGCGTTTATATCAGTCTTTATCCTACAACTGGCACTGCCGTTGTCAGAATCCGCCTGCCATATATATTTTTGCTGTATTCGACAGTGATGGAAAACAGTTGTATTTAGCGCGTGCGGTAATCAACAGAATTATTCTCTGAATTTACTTAAATATTACGTTTAGAAATATAAAAAGTTGTTGAAATAAGCGATTTTACATGTTATAATGAACCAAATGATTAATGAAAACTCATAAAATCGCTGTTAATATCCGATGGAGTTTTGGAACTATATTTCCGAGTGGAGCAATTATTTTGGCGTCTGTCATCAGGCAAAATTCAGCGTAGCGTCAATGTCAAGTAAACACAGATTGAACAACAAATCAGTTTGTTTCAACAGTCTTGATTTTCAATCGGTGTTGCAGGAAAAATAGAATACATACCGTGGGCAGTGTCTTTAAGATATATGCTGTATTCTAAAACACTGATCGTGTATTCTCTGTTTATCTGTACCTTTAAAAGAAACACACCTTTAAAATCTTCAAACCCTCTTCCAGCTCATGGAAGTACTTTATATAGATAAAATAAAAATCTTCTATCACTCATTATACAGCGTTTCTTTAAATAAGGCCCATTTCCGCACATCGCGCCCGTCCAAGCTAAATATTAGTATGCTCCATATGTGTCTACCGAATGAAATATATATAAATAGAAACACACAGATCTTATTGGTGTGAATCTCTGTCATTTAAAACTCAAATTTATTTGATGAGCCCTGTATTATTTTGGTCGATATATGTACAATGTCTGTTGGACATTACCTGTTTTGTGGAGGTAAAGCCACTCACTAACCGAAATAAACAGCTATATACTAGCCTAGGTACCAGCATACAGCGTACATGTGATTAATTGTGCAAGCTTCCCAGGTGATGCGTGTCTTTGTTAATTGAAGGAAAGCTGGTGTGAATACATACTGTTCATCTACCAAAAAGTCCTTTTTCAAAACACCTGGATATGATGTGTTGCTTGGGACCACAGTGGTAGGTTAAATTTGTATACATCCTACATCTCGGTAAGAGTATAAGTGGAGAAACGAAAGGCGGGTCTGTAAGTCGGATAGTTCGAGCGGAAACCAGCCAACAGATAACAAACATTCAGAATATTACTTTCGGTGTAAATTATACAATACGTTAAATCTGAATTCTGATTAATGGAATAATTCACCTTTGTGTGATGTATAGACAAATTCAGGTAAATAAATCGGCAAACAGAGGTACAAAGTCAACATGAAATAACAACCGGGTAAGCTGAAGTGGTACAACCTAGTGGTGGTGAGTACGTATTACTATGAGTATCGTGGAACTTTCACCTTAAATTGTTCTAAAACTAAGTTACATAAGGTTTAAAAGCCAATCTCACGGTGTTTTCAGTAGTAACACACATACTTTTTCAAAGTCGCTCATATTTTGGTATTTCTCATGAGTGTGTAGCCTGAGTGAAGGTACCTAATCGGAAAAGTGAATCAAATACAATTTTTGTTACCGGAAACACTGTTAAATATTCTGTTATTACATATTCAATTTTGCATAATTTTGTATCGGGTTTTTTTTATTGGTCCAAATATACAAGACGAAAAGTGTTCTTTGTTTCATCGTTTAATATTACAATGAATTGCAAATTTAAAAACAAATGGCATTTGTGAATTTTCGATTCAAATCTTTTATAGTGCTTTTTATGTGTGAATTTTTAACTTATTCGTAAACGAGTATTTAACATAAATTTCCTTTGTTTCAGAATAAAAGTGAGACAAGTAAAAACAGAAATCCAATTTTTCTTCTATAATATGTCTTTAGAAGAGAGCCATGCGGTATCGACAGCATCATGACATATCCCATCTAACCAGAGAGACACGGGAACTTTTGTTCTCTACAGAGGTAAAGCACAGGAATATGATGATGTGGTTTGAACAAAAATGATTAACCTGTGGTCATATAAGTCACCATGTCTTCGATTTTAATGGTTAGATAACGGAGGAAATTCACAGCGTTGTAGACGATACAGAAAGAAGCAGATTTCCATAATTTAAGAGAGACATTCAAAGTAATATTGATGAACTGGAAGGAAACATCATTCACTTTAAAAATCTTGTATCAGAAACAATATATCACACTGATAGTCTGGGGCAAGGATCGATGTTATGACGGCCGTACTACCAGCGCCTCCTTTCGGAGATTGCTTGAGCAAGGCCCTCTTATATGACCAATATCAGGTGAGCTGTTCAGTGATCAAGAATCCTGGCGAAATCATACCATCTTCAGTAAGATTCGGTCAGACACAAGACACAAACATCCGTTCTCAATGTACGTTGTGAAAAATAATTCATTATGCATGTATTATTACCAGCAAGAAGACGACTCTTTCTTTATCAACAAAAAAAAAAAAAAAAGATTTATATTTGCTTCTATTTAGTCAACATGACCCTGTTATAGATGTAAAGTAAATAATACAATGAAGCATTGTAAGACAACTAACATCTAAATGAAACACACTGCTAAACACCGCGGCGTTGAGACGCTTCATCACCTAGGTAAACATTTGTTAACACCCACAGAAACGTAACTTTTGGATGAAAAAAACCTTTGCATATCATAAAAAAAATAATATTAACTGGAAATAAAACTTCAACGGTGTTTAACTATCCGTTCGATTATATTTTAAGTGCACGTTGTGTTATATTAGAAAATCTAGAAGAAGCAAAATAAAACAATGATTTGAGAGATAAAAAACAAAAACAAAAACAAAAAAAAAACTCAGGAAAGTTTCATTCGCCGTGGTATGTGCTTCATAAATCTAGGAATTAGTCACATGCTACCTGTGGCAACTGTAGTCCAACGGTGTTTTGGTATGTCCTGAGATTGGGAATTCAATCAATTTACAAGTTACAAGTTCTTTATTACCTTGAGTCGTGTGACTCATTGGTTAAAGCAAACAACACATAGACGATTTACAAACATATAACAATATACAAAAAACACAGAAACAACACAAACCCGGAGAGAGTAAACTAGGCTATCAATTGCGGTTTTCTCTTAAAATGTAAGCTGCCTTGATATATTTAGACAAGTTTGTTATTTCTTTTGTATTGTTTGCATTTAAGAATTCTATCAATTTAAACATACTAGGTTTTTTATAATAGTATCTTTTCAAAAATTTTCTTCTGAGGTTCGAATAACAGGGACATTTCAATATAAAATGGAATTCGTCTTCGATATCATTCAAATCACAATTAGAACATATTCTTAAATTTCTTGATATATTTTGATATCGGCCTTTTTCTACTTTTAGATTATGAGAAGATAGTCTTATTTTTGTAATTTCTCTCAACAATTCCCTAGGTATTGATTTTTTCAGATAGCTTTGTAAATCATTATCATGATAAAGATGAGTATAAATTTGTCCTTTCGAGGAAGTTCTGATTTTTTCTTTACAATCTTGTCTAAACATATCAAACATTCTTTCTCTGATTATATTATAATGAACATCTGTATTGTTTTCTGACTCCCAAATATAACCTAAACCTAGATGATACAGCTCATTTTTAATATTTAAAACCCATTTGTCTTTCTTCTCCAACATATCATCGTAGCATGATTTCAATATACAATTTTCGGTCTTTTTCAATTTCATCCAGTACTTAATTATACGCAATTTTCTAGATACCATCAGTGGGAACCTACCAAGTTCCAAATAAACCATATTATTACAAGTATTTTTCCGCAAACCTAAAAGTCTTTTACAAAACATCATGTGAATTTTTTCAACATCAGGTGCCTTATGAAAACCCCATATTTCTGACCCATAACTCAAAATACTATTAACGTATGCATCAAAGACGGACAATTGGGTTTCAATATTAAAATAATTTTTACGACATACTTCTGTAACTGCAAATAAAGCTTTGCGTCCTTGCTCTGCAATTTTTTGTTGTGTTTTTCTAAAAGTTCCATTGTAATTAATTAACAGACCCAAATAGGTAAATTCATTTACAATTTCTAATTGACAACCGTCATAGTTCCAAATCTCGTCATTTCTCAGAATGCCACCATTTCTAAAAACCATGATTTTTGTTTTACTTGTATTAACAGTTACATCCCATTTTCTTGTATACGTATTTAAAGAATTAAGCATTTCTTGTAACCAATTCGGCGTCTCCGAAAATATCACCATGTCATCTGCATACATTAATAGAAATAAATTTAAGGTCTGTATTTCAATGGAAGGACAGTTGTCAGTTAAAAAATGCATTTCGCAATCATTTACATAAAGAGGAAACAATATAGGTGATAAGATTTCCCCTTGGAACAATCCGTTTTCACAATCAAAGTAATTAGATAATGAGCCATTATGCTTCACACAACATTTAACTCTACTATACAACGATCTTATTAACTTTAATAATTTTCCATCAATGCCTTCCTTTATTAATTTATACCAAAGATTCTGACGATTAACGAAATCAAACGCTTTAGCATAATCTACAAAGCAGCAGTACAATCTTTTCTTATTTCTCAAAGTACGATTAATTATTGATTGTAATGCAAAAATAGCGTCAACAGTGGAGTGATTCTGCTTGAAGCCAAATTGAGCATCGGTAATTTTACTATATTTTAAGTCAAACGTCACCAGCCTATTATTAATTATAGACTTAAATAGTTTCCCCAGACAACTGACAATAGTAATTCCCCTATAATTATTTACATCATTAGCATCCCCCTTTTTTAATACAGGAACAATATAACCTTTTGACCAACTTTCTGGAAAATGTCCATATTTAAGTATACTGTTGAATAAACTGATAAAGCAAGGCATTAGCACGGATTTACAATTGATTAAAAATTCACATGCCTTATTATTTAATTTTCTAATTGCACTTAATATTTCACACTCTGTTATATCTACATCCAACTCTCCAAATAATACAGGAACAATCGTCATGATCTTGTATCAAGTCTATAACCTTTTTGACAGTTGAGGCAACTTTCTGGAAAAAAAATGTCACTTAAATATTTCAAATGTGTATAAAAACTCTTTGTTGAATAATTCAACTGTTATATTTGTATTCCTTTTTGAGCAAAACATTACTTTTGCGGGCAAAGTTATCACTGTGTGTGAAATAATGTAATGCAGTTTTATGCATTGATATATATATATATATATATATATATATATATATATATATATATATATATAAGATAATTACGAGAGAGACAACTAGTTTTGCATAAAGTAACCAAGTAGATTACAATTTTGTAAACAACAAAATCAGCTAATGTCTTACATGCAACATAAAATATTGTACTAAAATTCTTTTACTTCGCAAAAAGAAAATAAAAGTATTCGTAATAATGATCGATAATTTATTTTCCTACACTTCTGATCCCGGATACTGTAACATTAATTGTAAGAAGTATATAGCACGTGTAGAAGAATTAAAAGTCACTTCAGAATGTCCTTTTTTCAAATACTGGGTATTTACACTAACTTTAGGTAGTCGTATTTATTCTTACGTAATTTCTGAATATTTGTCTAAACAGCTCTATTGTACAAACCGTATAGTTAGCTTCTTTATTGTCAATCGAGATGAACAATCTGCCATTACAGAAATAATTTCTGAGAAAAAAAAGTTAAGTAACATCTGTACGCAATTGAATTGACTCTTAGGCAGGGAAAATAGACTGTGGGTTCGGTTTGGCAATATCTGTAGAGAATATTTGACGAAATGCCAAGCTGACAAATCGTCAAAAGATAGGGGAAGGATCTTGATTAAAACAAATAAAGAAGGATTAAGGATGCCATATATTTCTGATAAAAGTTGATTTAACACACAGATTTCAGTAGTGTTCTAATAAAGACTTGACAGAACTCACAATCTATAGTCCAGTTGTCGGTCTACACGAAGACACTGGGGGACAAACTGGGGCAGACTGTGTTTTTGTATTATGAGAATAAGTCTTATAACTGTAAGTATTAAGAAATATCATGAAATAGTGTTTTGTAAATAGCTGAAACACTAATTAATTTTGTCAGTTATCTGCTATTGTGAGAACGTATTGATTTTTACGTCATTTGTTTACGTGGGAGTATTACGACGTTTTCTTATGACGTTTCTCTCATAAACAAATGACGTAACAAGCAATGCCTTTGCGCAAGAGCACATAACGTTATTTTACAAAAAAGCTGGATTAAGTGAAATACTATTGTACAGATATAGATTTTTCTGATTTATTTTTCAATGTCATACAGTTTTGTATTTCCTGTGCCTATCCATGTTACCAAATGATGTTATGACGGTAACAAACTCTATACTGCACCGATTTTGATGCATTGATGAATGTACAACTTGACAGGCGATGTGTTTTAAAATCTGATCAGTTAAATACTAATTTAGGTTTTGGAGTCTTAGTGACAGATATATGCCTTGAAATCATATATCTGATAAGTTTACGTACTTTAATCCGCGACACTATTTGGTATTGTTTCAAATAACAGCATCTTGTGTTATAGATATGTTGAAGTTAAAGATAGATTATTTACCACGATCGAGTATATAATTTATGAAGAAAATATTTTGATAAACTGGTGTTACTTAAGAATTGTTATAATTAGTGTTTAGTGTAATTAGTGTATATTTTCTATACAGTAGTGTGTCCGTTTAAACATAATCAGTTAACAACCCTATACAGATCAATCTATATTGTGCATACTGAACAATCCTACCTTAAATTCTGAACTGATCTTTTGTACATATTAAAAGACTCAGAATAAGGATTACAAATAAGAAACATTAACCAGGAATATTGCACGATTATCTTCTTTTCCTGATCAGATGTTTATTGATTAGAAGTATCTTACATTTAGTACATACCACTACATGGCTGTTGGTAGGTAATTCGATGAAACTGGGGCAAATATGAAAAAAAATATATAGTACATACCACTACATGGCTGTTGGTAGGTAATTCGATGAAACTGGGGCAAATATGAAAAAAATATATAGTACATACCACTACATGGCTGTTGGTAGGTAATTCGATGAAACTGGGACAAATATGAAAAAAATATATAGTACATACCACTACATGGCTGTTGGTAGGTAATTCGATGAAACTGGGGCAAATATGAAAAAAAATATATAGTACATACCACTACATGGCTGTTGGTAGGTAATTCAAACTCAAATTCGATGAAACTGGGGCAAATATGAAAAAAAATATATAGTACATACCACTACATGGCTGTTGGTAGGTAATTCAAACTCAAATTTGATTAAACTGGGGCAAATATGAAAAAAAATATATAGTACATACCACTACATGGCTGTTGGTAGGTAATTCAAACTCAAATTCGATTAAACTGGGGCAAATATGAAAAAAAAATACATATAGTACATACCACTACATGGCTGTTGGTAGGTAATTCAAACTCAAATTCGATTAAACTGGGGCAAATATGAAAAAAATACATATAGTACATACCACTACATGGCTGTTGGTAGGTAATTCAAACTCAAATTCGATTAAACTGGGGCAAATATGAAAAAAAATAGAGTACACACCACTACATGGCTGTTGGTAGGTAATTCAAACTCAAATTCGATAAAACAGGGGCAAATTTGAAAAAAAGAAAGATTTTTCATAATTTACATTAACCTGCATCTAGAAATTATGTGCTGTGAGCATGCTGGCAGTTACCGACACCTTGCAGAAAATCGTGATATTGAGAACATACCCTTAAACATCGAATCCACTGAGACATGTACATGATTTAAACACCATAGGATGATGATGCAGGGATATTGCTGTCCAGAAATGGAACATTCACAGTAGGGATATTGAAAACACCATTATCATTTTATAGCTAAAATACACATGAGAATTGATTGCCAAACCAATGCTTAAAAATGGGAAGTAAGTTCTCTAGGCAGAGTATGATATCTCTCAATTGTTGATATTTCTGCAGAGAAATTTTATTTACTTTAATAAGGAAATGACATTTTGCCAAATTCAAATTAAATAAAATTCTTATATAGAAGTGAAATATATCAATAACACTACGAAATTATCTCTAACGTGTGTAAATACAAATAACCTTTGTCGAATCTTCCTCTTGAATATTTTTTTTAATTTTCGACTAAAGCAACATAAAATAAGACTTAGGGGTCAATAACAAACTATATTGGTATATTGTTGAAAGTTTTTATCCTTTTTGTCATTCTTTCTTTAGCATGACATCATGGTAAGTGGAGACGACAATTGAGATTTATATTTCTGAACGCAGTTGTTGGAATAAAGCAATCCTACAATGGCTAAATCAGGGCAGATCGCAGTGCGTCAAGAGGAACAGAGCACGTGTGTTCACCATACAGGTAAAACACTGGAATTTTTCTGTGAGGAATGTGAGGACGTGGTGTGTTCCAAGTGTATAACCTCCGTTCATAAAGGTCACAATATGCGTGACCTTAGTGATGTCACTGTTGGAATAAAAGAGGAAATACGGAGGATTGTAGAGGACACGGAACGAAACAAGCTTCCTCAAAGCCAGAAAAACATCCAAAGTATCGTTGATGAACTGAAGAAAAATGCCGAGTGTTTCGATAACCTTGCCGCAGAAACAAAGAAGCAAGCTGATAGACTGAAACAAGATATTGATGTGATGACAGTGGAATCAATGGCGTTCTACCAGCGAATCAAAGAAGAGAATGCCCGGTTGCTGACTGCCTATCAATGTGAACTGGACAACGGACACACGGAATTACGCAAGCGATTACAAGAGTGTAAACGACTTCTACAGAAAGCTTCTGATATAACTTTTTTTGACTCACGAGACAAAATCAAGGAGTTTGCCAGACAACCTTTACTCTCAGGCAAGCCTATTCTACGTACTGCGATATTTGACCCAGCAAAATCTTTCCGTGGATTCCTTGAGCAGGCGTTTGGTAGGCGATCAGCTTCAGGTCAATCAGGACATCTGCCATCTGTTGACACTGACCAGACAGTGGCCATGTCAGGCAAAACTACGTCGGAGACGAGAGGTGCAAATCTGTCCGTTACGCTCGAACTTCTACCTGAAGTCAAGGTTTTAGAAGAAGACTCTCTAGGATTTATAGCCAATCATATACGTTGCAGCCAACCTAATGAGGCATACCTATGTTATTCTTCCGGGTCGAAGTCTAAATTACAAGTGTTGGACACGGCATTCAAGAATAAAAAGAAGATAAACGTTGATACGTGTATCACAGATATAAGTATCGCACGAGATACAAACCATATTTGGGCAGCGGATGGAAAGAACAAAAGTATCATGGAGTATACAGCCGATTCCTTCAAAGTTAGGTTCCATACAGAGGCGAAACCCGAGTGCTTATGTGTGACAACCATTGGCAACCATGTCCTCGTCGGAACCACAGAATGTGTAATGAAGTTCTCTTTCGATGGTAAAGTTGTCCTCACCTCAGACCAGTTCAAATCAAGAAAGTCGACATTTGGTACCACGCGAAGAATTCGTGAATGTCGTGTAACGCATAATGTGGCAGTGGCAGAAATCCAAGTCGACAAAACTGGTGACGTATCAGGTGGAAAACTATTATTGCTGAATGAAGACCTGGAACAGCTGTTCTGTTGTTCTGGGGCCACGCTTGAAGGGCAACAACACAACAGAAAGCCATTTTACCCACGTGATCTGGCTTTTGACAGCGCAGGGAATATTGTCATCGCTGACTTGCATCAGAATGGCATCCTTTTTCTTGATATCAGAGGTATTTCAATGAAGGTTGTTTATACAAGCAAATATCGGCCAACAGCTATCGATATCGACGACAACAATATCATTTGGGCTGTATACAGAGATCAAATAATCAAAAGGCTACAGTACTGTACATGCTAACTGTCCATAGCGATACAAGGGTGTTAGTGATGGATTTCTATCATTACATCTCACTGTACTACTACAGGACGTATACACAACTCGTTTATAAATATGTGTGTTAAAGTAGATTAGCTCTCTCAGTAAGTACATGATAATGAAAAGTTATTCATAACACAACTCGATTCCATCTGATTTGAAGTTAGAAGCATTGAGTGGTGTTCTGAAAGAAGTGAGATAATCACCGGTCTTCAGGAAACATACAGGAAAGGTAGATACCAAGTAAAATATAAGTAAAATAGGTAAGGATATGTATCCAAATAGCAACCGAAATAAACAACAAATGACAAATTAGTCATCACCTGACGAAACCAGGTGTTCAAACTGGGACAAACTGTATGAATTTTTAAAATTAAACATCTTGTCTAGGTGGTTTTCGTACTGTTCGACAAAACATCTTATTTCATCAGAATAACAGTTATACTGATGTATGTAAAAGCAAGACATTTTTTTTTGTTTTGTTTTTGTTTTTGTTTTTTTTTGTTGAAAGTATTATTTCTTTATTATTATTTGTATCAATACTACAATGTTTAGTAGGAATCAGGTTGGGAGTAATCGGATTATTTCACAAGCAATGTTTTACCAAATCTACGGGAATGTCCCATGGCCCTTGACATTCTTTTAATATCCTAATACTACATTTTCCTTTTCATCTGAGAGATTGGTTTTAACAGTCATTTTTATAGTTTATACGCTCAAAAACAAGAAAGGAAAAGATTTACTCTTTTTTAAATTTTGAATAAAAACCTTGGTATTTAGTTTTAAAATTTACGAATTTGGTGGTTATAACAAACTAAGTACCATGCTTAATAGTTTATATTCTTTATGAGTTTCTTTAATATTCATAAAAATAACATTTTATTATGTTATCATTCATACAATAAGTGGTAAAACATTTTTCATTGCGGAATGTAGTTTTTACCGTCAATCAACAAAAACTAACTATAACAGTTAATTGATTCGTCTTTCCACGAAAGGAACGAAAATAAATCATCCATGAAAATCAAGGATTTCACAAAAAAGTCAGTATGTTTGTTTTATTCCCTCCTAGTATTCTAGAAAATGCTGAAACGTTGAATTTAGAATATTTTTCATTTACAATACCTATTTTTATGCTTTGTTTTGATAGCTGATTCCTCAGTTAGGTAATGACTTGTGGATGTTGTTCGGCTTAATGACTTTGTGGTTGAAGAATTTCTTTTATACCCATCTTTATTGTCATAATGCTGGAAATGTTAATCTTATAAAACTTGTGTTGAGCGTCTCACGACATGTACATTTTCTATAGAATACTCGATAAAATATTTTTCACGGTAATGAGGAATTTTCTGAATCTATAAGACAGATTCAATGTTTTCTAAAACAAACATTTCGTAATGATAAAGGTTAAAATTTGTAGTATCTGCTTGAGAGATGTAATTACTTTGGTCAACGTTAAGTCCACGAGTTACATTTTTCGTTACCATTGCTTGAGAATCATTTTCCCCATTTTTGCGACTGAGTAACTGAGTGATGCAACAGGGGACATTTAGCAGAAAAGGCGATGATAAAAATATTGAAGTACAAAGACGTAAGACCGTAATGATGAAAAGTGAAATGCTGCTATTGATATTTCTAATTCTTATTGATGATATAATTACTTAAGAAGATAAGAAGATATAGCTTTATTATCACGCAATGCGAAGGATGTTGATGTGCGATGTTTCGTGTCCACATAGCAATGTGTTGGTATCGTGTCCGATTGAAGGATTTTTTTTTGGCTGAACTCGCAAAGCAAGAAAGATAACTCTTGCGTTCAATCCTTCTTATCGATTAATCTCAGCTGCAGTGTTGGAGTTCTGTTTTCTCATCATTTCTTTTTTGTGATTTTGTGATAATATAGATATATGGAATGTCATGAATAAGAGTTATTGACATGTGTTACTATAAATATGTAATGATGACGTCAGAAGTACACCGTTCTCAGTCTCATTCAACTATTACAGACGTGGCTTCAGATGGATATGATATAATAATTCAAACTAAATTTCCATATAACTAGGGCAAAATATGAACAAAGGAAAGAGTTAAACGGACACTCCTGAAAAAGTACAGGGATTATAAGACGACGTGTTCCGGAAGAGTAAGAGTATTCTGCTTCATTGACAACACCCGCCATATAAACCTTGGTCAGTCCAAGTAAGTAATGTCACGTTCTCAAATGAGGACAAGGTATACAACAACCGATTCAACAGGCAAACTAATGAGCATCAAATACGTCCAGCTTCATGTCAAACAAAGAGGTTATCACGCAAATTATTACAACTTATCAATGTGCTATAATACAAGTTTACAAATGCAAAGCATAGCAATGACCTTACAATGACCAGTACATATTATATTTTACAAAATTATAGAACAGAAAAAAAAACAGAAAAATAAAAAGGAAGTCAGAAATTTAAATGGAAATATTTAAGAGTCTACAACGAGACAGATGACACTACATATGTCATATATTTCCTAGATACACGCCCCCTGGACATCACTGATTCATTTTGATCTATTTATCCTGATGTAAACGTCAGACCGTACAACAAGTAAAATGTGTTACTATATAATATCAAGCATTTTAACACCTATCGGAGATGGGATTTACCTGTCATTTTCATGATTTATGTATTTATGACGTCAAAATAGGTAGCAAGCGTTTATATTATCACAAAATTCCAATTGTATATTTTTGACCATAGAATAGTTTAAAATATATTTATTATTTTCGAGTAAAATTGAGTCTAAGAAAATGTTTGATTTAATATTTACAACAATGCAAAACGTTGCGACATCGGTCTTCCTTTCAACGAAATTTCAATACCAAAACACATTAGATAGGTAACACATGGATTTTAATGTAAATTTTAAAAGGTCTTGATAAATTTAATGTATTTTCTAATTTTTTTTTATTGGAAAACAAATTTTTGAATTGTATGTGAAATAAAGTTGCGTATTTATTTTTACGGGAACACATTTTTAATTCATTATTTGGCAATACTGTATTTATAAGTAAAAATTGTGTATCTAATTGTGTTATTTAGTTATGTGTCCTTTATACAACCCATTGACCCGGTTAAGTCATACCTAGGATAAAAGCCGAATTTGCTAAAATACATTTTACATAGCAATAAATGTCAATCTCCTCGCGTCCTTCTACTTTTCTCAAGGGAAACTAGCTCTATCCGATAAAAGCAGTTTGACAATCCTTCCGAAAATTGATGTTAAACAATCGGTGTTACAGAATGTGATGGTATGTTTCTGGGTTGACATATCGAGATAACACTTGTTCCAAGTTTTATCAGTAATGCCAAACTTGTTCCGAACGGCCTTCCGAGACATCGAGAATGACAGGTTTGAAAGGAAGAAGATACCATTAACAGCGATATTGTTGCCATCATTTCATGATGTCTTAACTGATATGTAAAAGGAGTGACATATCTTATACTTTCATATATTCAGAAATCTCTCGTAAAGAGGTCGCAGTTTGATTTATGAGAACAATCTGGGGTGCTGTGTGTTATATATATAAACAGAAGGATGTCATAGCCACTCTGGTTGTTATTACATATCCACCAGTTAAGTACATTTATTACATCTGTAACGTATATACAAATATAGTTCATTTCATGTCACGAATGCTTCATTTTGTCTGACCGGGAGTTCGATATAATGGTTTAATGTGTTTCGTAAATATTATTTTAAGTAGAACATATTGTAAGATGCTGTTGATCACGTAACTAAGGTAGATTTTTGGAGAACCGGTTTTAATCATCTTAATAACCTTTCAGATGAAAACTCTTCTGCTGTCTGTTTCTCCATTGGCCACATTCTGCTTGCCTCGTGTGACATCAGCAGATCCTGTGGGGCTTTTGCCTATTTCTTTAATCTGTTATTTGTTGGTTCCTATCTCTTTAATCTGTTATCTGTTGGTTCCTGTATCTTTAATCTGTTATCTACTGGTTCCTATTTCTTTAATCTGTTATCTGTTGGTTCCTATTTCTTTAATCTGTTATCTACTGGTTCCTATTTCTTTAATCTGTTATCTGTTGGTTCCTATTTCTTTAATCTGTTATCTACTGGTTCCTATCTCTTTAATCTGTTATCTGTTGGTTCCTATTTCTTTAATCTGTTATCTACTGGTTCCTATCTCTTTAATCTATTATCTACTGGTTCCTGTTTCTTTAATCTGTTATCTACTGGTTCCTATCTCTTTAATCTGTTATCTACTGGTTCCTATTTCTTTAATCTGTTATCTGTTGGTTCCTGTATCTTCTGTTAATCTGTTCCTATTTCTTTAATCTGTTATCTACTGGTTCCTGTTTCTTTAATCTGTTATCTGTTGGTTCCTGTATCTTTAATCTGTTATCTACTGGTTCCTATCTCTTTAATCTGTTATCTACTGGTTCCTATTTCTTTAATCTGTTATGTGTTTGTTCCTATCTCTTTAATCTGTTATCTGTTGGTTCCTGTATCTTTAATCTGTTATCTACTGGTTCCTATTTCTTTAATCTGTTATCTACTGGTTCCTGTTTCTTTAATCTGTTATCTGTTGGTTCCTATTTCTTTAATCTGTTATCTACTGGTTCCTGTTTCTTTAATCTGTTATCTGTTTGTTCCTGTATCTTTAATCTGTTATCTACTGGTTCCTATTTCTTTAATCTGTTATCTACTGGTTCCTATCTCTTTAATCTGTTATCTGTTGGTTCCTATTTCTTTAATCTGTTATCTACTGGTTCCTATTTCTTTAATCTGTTATCTACTGGTTCCTATTTCTTTAATCTGTTATCTACTGTTTCCTATCTCTTTAATATGTTATCTACTGGTTCCTATCTCTTTAATCTGTTATCTACTGGTTCCTATTTCTTTAATCTGTTATCTACTGGTTCCTATTTCTTTAATCTGTTATCTACTGGTTCCTATTTCTTTAATCTGTTATCTGTTTGTTCCTGTATCTTTAATCTGTTATCTACTGGTTCCTATTTCTTTAATCTGTTATCTACTGGTTCCTATTTCTTTAATCTGTTATCTGTTCTTTAATCTGTTATCTGTTATCTGTTGGTTCCTATTTCTTTAATCTGTTATCTACTGGTTCCTATTTCTTTAATCTGTTATCTACTGGTTCCTATTTCTTTAATCTGTTATCTACTGGTTCCTATTTGTTCCTGTGTCTTTAATCTGTTATCTACTGGTTCCTATTTCTTTAATCTGTTATCTACTGGTTCCTATTTCTTTAATCTGTTATCTACTGGTTCCTATTTCTTTTATCTGTTATCTACTGGTTCCTATTTCTTTAATCTGTTATCTACTGGTTCCTATTTCTTTAATCTGTTATCTACTGGTTCCTATCTTCTTTAATCTGTTATCTACTGGTTCCTATTTCTTTAATCTGTTATCTCTTTAATCTGTTATCTACTGGTTCCTATCTTTAATCTGTTATCTACTGGTTCCTATTTCTTTAATGTGTTATCTACTGGTTCCTATCTCTTTAATCTGTTATCTACTGGTTCCTATTTCTTTAATCTGTTATCTACTGGTTCCTATTTCTTTAATCTGTTATCTACTGGTTCCTATCTCTTTAATCTGTTATCTGTTGGTTCCTATTTCTTTAATCTGTTATCTGTTTGTTCCTATCTCTTTAATCTGTTATCTACTGGTTCCTATTTCTTTAATCTGTTATCTGTTTGTTCCTGTATCTTTAATCTGTTATCTACTGGTTCCTATTTCTTTAATCTGTTATCTACTGGTTCCTATTTCTTTAATCTGTTATCTACTGGTTCCTATCTCTTTAATCTGTTATCTACTGGTTCCTGTATCTTTAATCTGTTATCTGTTGGCTCCTATCTCTTTCATCAGCTATCTGTTGGCTCCTATCTCTTTCATCAGCTATCTGCTTGTTGGATCATCTGGTTTCCAATATCAAAGCATTCTCTTTTCTGCTCTTAACACGAACTAAAATAGATACACATTAAACAGTCATTTCATTTCAAATATTGAAAAATATCAAACAATTATAAATATAGCGTAATCTCTTTTCCAGATCGTTAAGATGTTCGATATAGTATATAAGGTGATTGCTTCTGTAGACTGTATTAGTAGTTGTCCAACTAATTAAAACATTCGCTTAGAAATAGCTCTAAATCAGTTGTACTCCTCATATTTCTTTGTCAATTATTCGTGCCCGTAAGTACTTATATCAACTAAATTCAATAATGCACAAGCACTTTATATAGAAATCAGTTTGTTTGAAATTAAGAGATAAATTGATAATATGTCTGTCTTCAGAAAAACAAAACAAAACACACAGGCACTTTGACATCATGTTGATATTTCAATACTATTCAAAGCAATACTTTGATGTAAATATGTTTGGAAAGTTTATGTTTATTTCTAAAGATTGACATGTATCACATTTTACCTCTGTTTTATGGTATCAGGAAACAGGCAGATACTACTTCGCAATGCAGATCTTATTTATTCATTTATCAAAAAAGAATTAACTAAATGTTACCTTCCACTATTGTACCTGCATGCCACGTTTTAATTCATACGAATTGTGGCAAAGTTAAGAATATACACATGCACTTAACTTTTCTTTGATCATCAGACGATTACTAAATTTATTGAACATAGTGTAAATGCACCTCCCCGCTGGGTTTTTAAATTTTAGGCCCTTAGCATTACTGATTTATGACAAAACATAGTGCTTGTTTATCTCATTGTTTGGTTCTACAGTATCTAGTTCTCAATTTGTATTGAAATGTACTATTCACTAGCATGCCTTTAGTCTGATCTTTTGAACACAGTCGATATAAAGAAACCCTCATATTTCCTTTGAAGGTATCCCGAACCTTTCGCGATCAAATTACAGAATGCCAAACATACAAAAATTTAACCAACATAACGCAAATATGCAGTATTATGTCTTAAAATATCACACAAAGATGACATTTTATCATATTACTAACTAGAGAATTTATCTCTAAACTCAAATTGTTCTTCACATATGACAGTAGCTCAATGTCACGTGACAGTCAGCTCTAATTTGTTTCCAAATGAGAAAGGATTTGTTTACCGTTGAGGGACTCCCTAGGGGCTGATAACAATCTAGTGGTCCTCTGCGGTCTAGGGTCATGTGTGTCTGAAACCGATAACCTTCAGAAAAACGTGAGGTTAAGTCAGTATGACATCTGAGGTCAACTCTGTCGTATCGTCTTGGAAGGTTAATGTTCCACAGAGAAAACATTACGTGAGTGAGGATTAAGCAGTGTAATTCTTTGCTGAATATATAAGTTGCTTAAGTGCATCCAATATCGTACTTGGTTTATGTTTCGTGAGAAACAATCACATAACAA